ACTAATGGGAAACAGAAAAAAAATCAAGCTCTAATTAACTCAAATTCAATCCCTTTTAAAATGCAGAATAAATATTAAAAGGCACGAGTGCTATGCTTGACCTGGGTCAAACATGGTGTTCATTGTGGGAAAAACTGCCCTTTTAAAGTAGTAGACTTAATGTCTGTTGGGTGGACATGCACAGTCTCTAGATGCCAGTAAAGGAAGGTCTTTTATGAGAAATGTTAGATAAGAAGAGGGAAAGAAATGGGAGAGGCGATTAGCCCAAATATGCTTAATGTCAGTTTTATATTTTTTCCTTCCAACATGTTGTTTAAAGTTTAGGCTTTTGGTAATTATGCTCACTCGCGTGCGTGTGCGCGTTTGTGTGTAACCCTCCTTCTTTGTGTTTCTCACTCTTGACTCTGACTCTCTAAACGTGCAGGCTGATATGTCTCCTTTCCCTGGGGATGGTCCAGATCTGACAACAGCTAGGCCTACACCCCATGCAGGAAACCCATCCCACTGAGATATAATATGCACGGTTGTGCATGTGGATATTATGCCACACCAGTGCCAGTCAGTGTCTAGTATTTGTGTAGACGCTAGCTTTTCTGCAATCTTGCTCCTTTTGCTTTTTTATCAAGCAGTTGATGATCATACACTCGAGGAATATGTCCTCATTAAACTTGTATTGTGTTCATTCCCCACTCTAAAACCAGTATTGATTTTTTTGCCCCATTGTGATATCCATCCTCAGCATGAGCGCCCACTTACAGTGCCACAAAATCTTTTTCTTAATAGCGTTTCTCTGAAATCTGTGCCAGCAGAGCCCCTGTGCAGGTTCAGACAAGGACAAGGAACAAGCGATATTTTTTGATAATTGTTTCCTTTAAGTCAGATGGATTTTTTTCTGAGAAGAGCATGAAATAAAGGTCAAAATGTTCACCCAGTAAAGCTTGACAGCTGCCTCCAGCCTTCTCCTCTCCATCTTCCTTGTTATTCGCCTTTTTCTATGTACCACATATCTGTCTGTCTCACTCTGTCAAGGTCTTTTTCCTCCCTTTCTTTTTTGTGCCTCAATGGCAGTTCTCTCAGTTAATTATTTCTTTTGAAGCTTTGATTTTTTTCTTGTCATTGAAGAGAAATTGCTTCTAAGAATGACTATGGCAAAGAAGCTCATGATAGTGACCTCTAATTCAAATGTTACGCAATACACTGCAACTACACCGGATTACATACATTATTGTTTCATCTTGCGTACTCTATTAGCGCATACAAGGATATTCAAGGTTGTTAAAGATGATTGACTTCACCACGTCATATAGTACTCATTATGTATGTTCAACTTCCTGAAAACAAAACCTTTAAAAGTAAGTTACTTTTATATAAATAAAAGCCAACGTAATGTATGTATAGTGCTTTAAAAAAAATGTAAGTTTAATGCCACTGTTGCCCTTAATTACCAGTGCTGGTACATCTTATAATTCATGTTGTTACATATGCATTTTCAAATGTAGTGTTTAACAAAAAGCTGAAAAAATATACTAAAGCACATTATTATTTTTTGAGTTTGATTATAGTTGATTAAAATTATAGTTATTTACTCAGATCCCTGAACATAAAAATTAGTTTTAGTGGTTGAATGTTATGATTTGGGTATAAAATGTATTTTTTTTGCCAAATAAATAATATTTTAATTTTTAGATTTCAACAATTTTTGCCAGATTTCTAAAATGTTTGTGTTTTTTTTTTTGTTTTTGTTTTTGTTTTCAATGACAGTTGGTCTAATAAATTTGGTAAGCACTGTATGTGAAAAAGCCAAGCCTGTTTAGAATTGCTTGTGTATATTGATTATATGGACATGTATAAGGTCTCTTTCCTACAAATAGGTGTTTCCATTATTAGTTCTTTGCAAATAACCATTTTGGTAATGGCTTCCTTTATAGGTTAACAACTATGTGGAGGAAAGAGAGGAGATCAACCTGATTCATCCTGCCAAAAAGCTCCTGTTGTTGTACCCTGGATGTGTCTGTCTCAGGGAGTCTCTCTGGCCAGTGGACTTGGTCAGCAGCAGCCCAGCCAGCCTTGATCTGAAGCCCTACATTAATACTCAGCACTGTCATTCATCTTACACCTCCAGGTTTGGATATTCATGTTTTTTTTTGTCTGAAATGTCCTGTTTAAAACCAAAATTTGTCCGAAGGGAAATGACTGAGTCCACAAAATGATACAATTTACAAAATGAAGAGAATTTAGGTGTGAAATTATACTGCATGTGAGACGTATGAACATAATTGGGGGCAAAATCTTGTTCTGTAGAGAATATTCCATTACTTTCCAGTTCTTAATTGGTCAAACCATTAACTAGTAAGAGTTTTGCTAACAGATTAACTGACAGTGGTGCCGCTTGTCAGCTGCATGCATCCCCAAAATGCTACATATTTTACCTTCAGTTATGTCATCTGAATGCTCTGGAAATTACAGACTGGATATAACATGAGATATTTACATTAAAGTTGCAAACAAACTTTATTTCTAGGTTTTATCGGTCTTGTAGCCAGAAGACGAAGTTGGGTTCCCTGCTAACTGGAGCACTGCTAGAGGCCACACTCGTGCTTGGTGCTCGCACGGCACTCCTTTACCCATTGCCCCAGTGCCCCAACAGCCACGCTGTCTTGAAAGGTAGGCTTCATGCTGTTGTTTGCATGCACGTAATCTTGGGAAAATAACTTAATGTGATACAGAGTATGTGTATCTTAAGTACACAGGCAGATGACACATTATAAGGAATAAAGTTAATAAATTAATAAGGAAAAAAATTAGGAAAAATAAGGAAAAAAATTAATAAATTATGCTGTGGAGGACATTTTTGCTGGCATGGTTTGATCCCACTTATTCTACTTGTTCTGAGTGAAACATGCTCTCTACTATAATGCCCGCATCCACAGGGCATGAGACACCATAGAAAGGTTTGAGAAGTATGAAGTGACCTAAATGTTATCCTATTTGCAATCATCATCTCGATGCGAACAAAGAACTGTGGAATATTTTGGACTGACAGCGCTGTCCACCATCATCAAAACACAGAATGAGGCAGCATCCTTTGGAAGAGACTCCTGAGACTTGGAGGATCTATTCCAGTGCACACTGAAGCTGTTCTGGCAGCATGTGGTGGTCTAACACCTTACTAAGACACTTTCTGTTAAGATTTCCATTAATTTGACACCTGTCTCAACATTATAGGATAATTGGCTCTTATTTCTGCTCATAAGATAATAAACAGAGGTGCACAAATTGGATCCCAAGTGAAGCGGGAACTTCTGGGATTCTCATTATTCCCCTGCGGTCTATTGCTCCCCTCGTTTTCCTCCTCGCTGCACTTTTCCCACATGATTCCTTATCCCCAGCGTGATCTGGGTATGTTGGGGTCTGTAGCTGATCCCAGTGGTTAACCTTTCCCTCTTTCCATTCTCTTTTATTTGCCTTGCTGTGTTCTCTCCCTTCACATAGCCCTCACCGTCTCCCCCTTTCCCTTCTATTCTCTAATTTAGATACACTCGCACTCAAGTGGTTTAAGAAAGAAGGAAACACTTCCAGACATCACAGAGTCTACACAACACTCATTACACACACATCAGGTTATCTGAAAAGAGGCGATATGCACTTCAAACATGCTTGCGCCGCTCCCCAGAAAAGCTTCGGAATCACAGCACGATAGACTTACATTCCAGCTTTTTATGCAGCAGAGGATCATCAAGCTTTGCCCCTTAAATGCATTGAGGAGTAAATTAAAATGTCAGTTGTGAGAAGATAAGACAATAAGCTAAATTCTATCATGCATATAGCGTTTCACCTCTTTTTCTCACTCTCACTGCCCTTTTTCCTCAGTCTCCACATGACTTCATTGTCCAACCAGTCAGGTTGTCGGTCCGTTGTTCAGCTGTCTGTCTACCTTCTCTGCAGAGATGTTACGTATGACTTAAATGTAAGCCAATACTGTCATTAATTTCCACTGGCAGTGAGACAGCGGACAGGCTGTCTCTGACAGGATCAAGGAGACACACACACTCAGATGCACACACAAGTATGCAAACACATTTTTCTGTTTCTTTCTTTTTGATTTGCTCTCAGTCGTGTTAATAATTATAAAGCATTTGTTTTTGTCGGGCCAGCTTTTTTGAGGCAACACACAATCGCACACAGACGCACGCTTACACAGTGCATATCTTTAACGTGACACACTGTTCTGTTCTAATGGGTGTTACAGGAAACAGGATTGAGCCAGACACGCGCACACATAGCAGCTTAGAAGTCTTGCTCATGCATAGCATGAACCCCCGCCCGTCAAAACTTGTAGAATTTGTAACCAAGCAACAAAGTTAGTTACCCATAGCCAAGTTATTGTGCTTTTAAATAGGCATGTGTTGCTATTGTGATGTAATATATTTATTGAATCTAATTTGAATGATTTTATATTTAGTTTATTTTTAGTTCAGAGACTATGATGACTATACAAACACATGCTGTAGTTTTCCTGTTTTAAAAGCTCTGAAGCACTTACAAGCCTAGAAGTAAGGAGTGCTGAATCAGAAGTGGTCTTTATTACTGTAAAATTGGCCTTGGGTAAGGCATTGACTCCCCCAGCTGACATTTTGTCAGGGCACAGGTTTAAAGACGTGAAGGCTAAAGTGATTATCTGATGTCATAAAAGACATTTTATTATCCCGAGTTTGGGCAAGTACTGCATTAAGTTTCAAACTTGGATAGTGTTGGTGTTGTTATTGCTTTCTTACCATTTTTGGTATTGTTCCTCTCTTCAGTGCTCTAACCTAATTCTGGTCTTTATGTTTTTTTTTAAAGCTTTACAATCAAAGTTATGTAGCTGTTAAAGTAACTAGTAAAGTAAACAGTACATATGCAGACATATATACAGATTTATTACCAGATTATTTCCTTAATTCATTTCTTGTGCACATTGTGTGTCCACTGTATGATTATATTTAGAGTGTGGATCTCATACCTGATGATATAAAGACTGAGATTATGAGAAGTTTACTGGTCCTAGTGTATTCAGACTATATGCACATGACAATTTTGGGATTTTCGATACAGATTATTTATTTTGAAACGTGTTCTGCGTCTCTGCTAAAAATGCTCTAAATGACTGCAAAGATTATTGCTGGACTAGCCTTGGTCTATTCTTAGTTTTCCCATGAGTTCTGAAAGGTGGTGTGTTTGTGCAAGGCTTCTTTACTGCCCTGTCGCTCTAAAGAAATGAAAGGGTTTTGCTCGTTCCTCATACATATATTTGTATAAATGCGTTATGTTTTTCTGTTGCATCAACATTTGGTTCTAGAGGTAGAGTGGGAGAACCATTTTGAAAATGACAAATGCAACTCATGTTGGCATGTGTTTGAGTCAGCCTGACAGTCATGTTGTGGTGAGGGGAAACGTGTGACACCTATGAACACAAATACTGGCATTTGGAAGCAAAAGGGTAAGGACAGGGTGGTTTATGCCGCTAACATGCAGGTAAAGATGAATGCAGACCAATGGAGAGCACGCACCGCACTGTGGAGAATGCTGGTAGTTAGGGTTGCAGTTATGTTTCATGGCGCTCGTCTTTATAAAACGTGGGAAGCTTGACGCCGGATCAGCTGATGCCAAGCGTTGTTCATGTTTGATATATGAAAATGCACATATGTGATTATATGCTTCTGTATACATTGTGTTTGTTTGTTTGTTTGTTTGCATACAGAACATGCAAAGATATTTTAAATCTTTGCATGTTCTGCAAAGGATCTCACAACATTCTGGAGCTAACCCGCACTACGAGCTAAAATGTTACTTTATATGTGTACCATTTTCAGTCTGCTTCAGATTACAACAAATGTAGGATGTGCAACTCTGGAGTCTATGGAGAGATTTGAGTTCGGTAGAAAGGCAGAAATTAAATGAGAATTTCTCATTCCACTTCAAAAGCAGGTGCAAAATGCTAATAATTGAACAAGAGCTTTGACTTTGATTAGGCATTCATGCATAGATTGCATTTTGCCAGTGCAATTGCTTTAAAAAATGACAAAATAAAACAACAATTGACAAGAGTATTTGAAAACCACTGAGCTGCCAATGACAAGGTGGTTTTCTTGCTCGCAGATGAGTCAGTTTCATTCTCACATCCTGATTCAGCAGATAAGTCGCTTACACAACTCCAGCCTCACTTTAGCCCCTTTTGCTTTTTTTCCTGCATTGTTTAAGAAGGCTTCTCCACGGGCTCGACTGAAGTGTTGCCTTAGCGAGTCAGCTGGCTAACACAAGATTTGTAATTCCAGAAAACAGGCTTGTGCCAAATTATCTTATGATTTAACGCTCGATTGATGCACACAGCTTGGGTTTGCAGCGATAAAAGTTCTGTCATTAACCTTTATTATTATGTGTTGGTTCATTAGTGGGCTTCAAGTATATACTTGTCTTTTGCAGCTACTAGATTTAGGTATAATATTTGAATATGTTTACACATTATCATGGCTGTGTTAAATCAGTAGTCTGGTGAAGACTGATGTATTTATTCCTCCTCTTAATGCTAGCAGGTTGTGTAAGTAGAGTCAAAACAAAATATATTCCTTACATATACACACTCTCTGCTTAAATAATAATAATAATAATAATGATGGATTGCATTTATATAGCGCTTTTCGGGGCCCTCAAATGTGCGATCCTTCAGGACTGTGAAGGAGGTGTAACTCTTCAAATAGTGTATGTGT